TGACAAAAAAATCAAATTTCATAAGTATTAAAAATATATCGAAAATAAATTCGCTTTTCTAAACGCGTAACAAATTCTAGTAATTAAAGTTAAAACTACAGTACATAAACATTTATAAAGCCACCACGAAGACGGTGTATTCTGTTGTTGAATAATCACATATTTGGTTCGATTTCTTTTCAACAATCCAGAATCGCCGAGATTTCAGAAAAACTAAATAGATTATTTTCAAAAATACTGGAGAAGAACGAGAAAAACGAAATTTCTACGTAATAATATCCTAACAAACTCAAAGATTTATGCAGCACTAGCAGCAGGCACGGACTCATTAGTTATTTTAACGAGTCTACGACGCACCATGTTGAAAAATGTAAAACAACACGATGGAACTTTAAAAAGAAAATAAGAAGAATAGAATAAAAATAAAAGTGTGGCCGAATTTGTTACTTTACATGATTCTTTTATTCCTAAAAAATTTACTTGCCTCGAATTACATCGAAACTTAAGACAATTATAAACTTCAAGGCCTTTTTCAAATAAAAAGAAAGACAAAGAGGTGCAAAGATAATTTAATATGTCTCCTTCACAAGAAAAATAATAATTACTTTTCGTTCACTCTTATGAAAATAGAAAATGCCAAGAGAGAGAGAGCGGCCAAAACGGAAGCAAATCATTCATTTCTTTGACTTCATCTCCTACCTTCACTCATCGCCATAACCACAAAACATAGAAAGTTTTTTTTTGTTTGTAATCGCAAACTCCTTTTTACCCTTAATGAAATTATTATTACATTTCAACTCACTCACTTTTTTATATAATATCTACAAAATCAAACACACTCTCGTGTTTGCCTTCCCAAAATTTCTTTAAATGAATTTCAAGAGTGTCACATTTTAGGATTATTAGAATTGTGTCATTTCAATTTTTAAAGAGAAAGATCGTTCGTCTTTGTCTTTGGATAGTGATACGTTTTCTGGTAGTCTGATCCAATGGCTGCAACTACTGAGATGCCCACTGATGTTGTCAATGATGTTAGTATCAACAAGGATGGTGAAAAGGGCATTGATAGTGGAATTGAGAATAACTCTTCGATCACGACCTTGAAAGCCAAGACTGAATCCGATTTAGAAATGCAAAAGCTTGTGGCTATGTTCAAGAAACTAAATCCATTGGCTAAAGAGTTTTTCCCTTCTTACTACAATCCCAAGAAGAACAATCAGACCGGAAAGGACAATCAATTTCTGTCTGATGATGATGTGGCGGCCACAAAAAAGCAATCTGGTGAAGAAGTTGATCTTAATGGAAAGAAAGGTGACAATAACCAGAAGGTATAATCCTGAAAGTTTCTTTTTATTTTAATGATCAGATCATTTGGATTGATCCAGTGATTTCCAATGTAATTTATTGTTGTTGTAAAGCTGTAAATTTTGGTTGTGTTAATTTTTTTTTTTTAAATTGTTGTGTGTGGCTACAGAGAAGAAACAGTTATAGCCAAGGGAGGAGGAGGTTAACTGGAAGAATTTCTAAGGCTCAGAGAGAGGATAGTATGAGAAGAACAGTGTATGTTTCTGACATTGACCAGAGTGTAAGTCTTTTAAGTTTTTTTTTTGTAAAAAGAACTGAATTTAATTTGCATTAGTGTAATGTTAAAAATCTACTTTGAGATTTAGGTGACTGAGGAGGGTCTTGCTGGCTTGTTTAGCAACTGTGGACAAGTAAGATAATTCTTTAACCTTTAAATCCTTGTTAATTATATTTTAATTCCCCTCCATGAGTGTTTAGGCTAGTTAGTTAAATTTAGCTTTCAAAGCCTATAAGACGCTGTACGTGAGATTATGTATATATGTGCTAAGAAATACTTCAAATAATTTTTTTCATGATATATCTAAGTGCTTCTTACTTTCTTTGGTGGTATTATAGTTTGGGAAGTAACATGTCATTATTCTTCTGTGAAGGTTGTTGATTGTCGAATTTGTGGGGATCCACATTCAGCTCTTCGATTTGCGTTTGTCGAGTTTGCTGATGACCGTAAGTTTGGCTGCTGGATTCTTGAAACATTTTTAACAAAAATTGCAATGTCACCCTTTTGAACTATACTAGGCATTTACATATATGGTAAATTTGGCTGTTACAGAGGGCGCACGGGAAGCTTTAAGCCTTGGTGGAACGATGCTCGGGTACTATCCCGTGAGGGTCTTACCCTCCAAAACTGCTATTCTTCCAGTGAATCCCACATTTCTTCCCAGGGTAATTAGCTCCTTAGAAGAAGTTCCTTTTATCAAATTTGGTCTAAGTTTTGAGTAAACTTTACTATGTTGGTGTTGGTTCAGTCCGAAGATGAAAGGGAGATGTGTTCAAGGACAATTTATTGCACAAATATTGACAAGAAGGTAAATGTTGAACAATCTTATATTGTATGTTCTCTTGGTTTAACACTTTATTTTCTACAACTGTAGGTTACTCAAGCTGATGTGAGAAACTTGTTTGAGACGGCATGTGGTGAGGTCAGAACAGAACACCTAGACCTGCCTGATCTTCTCCCTCTCTTTTAAAGGATAGTGATGCTTAAATTGTTCTCTAATATACGCAGGTAACTCGCTTGAGGCTTCTTGGTGATCAACTGCATTCAACTCGCATTGCTTTTGTTGAATTTGCTTTGGTGAGCTTCCAGCTATTCACCAAATTATTTTTTTTTCTCCATGGATGTGGCTTAATACATTGCAAGTCTCTTCATCTATTTTACCTCTTTTACTGATGACTAGAATATTATTGAACTTCTTTTTTTTTTCTTTTAAAATGAACAGGCAGATAGTGCACTTAGGGCGCTTAATTGCAGTGGGATGGTCGTTGGATCCCAACCTATAAGGTAAAATCATCATCCATGTAGTGTCTTTTTTCTTCTTCTGAATATCTCAGTTGGATCAGTATCTGACTGTTTTCTTTTCTTTTCTCAGGGTAAGTCCATCAAAGACACCAGTAAGGCCACGAATCACTCGACCACCATCCACAAACTAGAAAGAGACCTGACTAGCTGGAAGAGAGATGATTTTAAAACATCTTTTTCGATTTTGGTTATCTTTTGATGTTTTAGAACAGTTTTATCTCCAGTTACATTTGTAGCTGGAAAGTGGGAACACTATGGTTCTGGTTTCTGAATTTGGAGTTCTTATTTGCCTCTGTCTATTTTTTGACTGAGATACTTCCATCTGTTTCATCATCTTTTTCTAAGGGATTTTTGGAGCATTTGCTTTTGAGAGTATTGTTGGCTTTCAACATGATCTTTTGCTTCTTTTTTTTTTGGAAAAATTATCTTTTGCTTTGTTGCTCTCCTTTATTTACAAGGTTAGATCAACAGTGCTGCAAGAACGTAATTGTTTTGAGATAGAATAGAAGAATCAGCTGTCACCTGCATGTAGGACATCTCTGGTAAGAACTCGACTGGTCGTAAAATATGTGAATTACACTGTCGTGTTCATCAAGAAAGGTCTCTAATATTCTTTTCGTAATTTTCATCTATCAATATCAGTAGATTGTCGAGCAATAGATCTCGCTGACCCATTGGTCAATATTTCACAAAGGGTGGCATGCCTTTGAGAAGGATAAAGTTCGCTTTTCCAAAAGACCAAGATGAGATATGTGATGCATGATTATATATCAATGAGCTTTCTTAGTTTGCTTAGATACAATGGTCAGCGAGAAGTTACTTCCAATGCTTACCCACCTTGCGTGTTTTGACTTTGTCACATTACAAGATTTCAAGGCTGCCTCCAGAATTCTTCAGGAACTTAAGCCATGTCCGGTACTTGGATCCTCTCGCACTGAACTAAAGAAGCATCAAAAACACGATAAAAGTAGAGAAATTTTGACGTCCGTCGATTTGTTTCCAAATTAATTGCAAACACGATAAAGTTTATTATGTCTCGGTTTTGTTTCTTGGCATGCCCTAAGCCGTATCTATTTGTGGCTTGTGCATTGTAGCAAACATGCAAGATCTTGCCTATACGCATATTCCAGTTGGACACTTGAAATTTGACATTCAACTAACTTTTAAGTATAATAACTTCCCATCAATTAATTTCGTTTTAGTCATGTCTCCTCGATTGTCCATTATCAGTTAGGCCAAAAGCTATAACATTATCACATTCTAGACTATAAACTATTATTATCATCATCATATCACACTACATATACGATCATCATGTTCTTTTTGGAAGAAGAATATCGCCTCTTCAAAATCATAGTAGCGTTAACGAAGAGGAAGAAGAGAAATTAAACAGCGTGACTAGATCGCTAGAAGTGGAGATCAACACGAGTTCTTCTTCACCTATTGAATCTCGTGAAAAGGATCTTCAACAGACAAAACCAGGTCTAGAAGATGATTTTGGGTGGCTTAATGAATTTGATATTTAATGGTGTAATCTCGTCACAAAATGATGACGAGATGATGAATTGGTGTACGGAACTTTCTTACATGGATGGTGTTGATAGTAGTAGTGTTCAGAGATTGAAGGTGGTGATTATTATTCTCATATTAACTATGGATTTACATTTGAGGAACCAACTCTTTCTCTGTGGTAATGATGTAATTATGTACTGAATTCATGATATATAACAAAGGCTGTTTCATATCTGTGAGTTTTACTTACCTCATGTATGTATTAGTTAATGACATGCTAATGTCACATGATTTCAATCAAATTCTTGTATATATATATAAGGAATTAAATACAACATATTATTTACGTACTTTTTTTAGTTGAAAAAGATATTTATAGCAAGTTAAACTTATATTTATAGCAAACAAATTTTTTCACCTTGGATTACGGAAGTTCAAGTTATAGGGGAATGTGGTTGAGGTCAAAGCTACCGCATAAACAGCCACGTGGGACGTGCATTACCTAAATTCAAAACCCATAAATGAGAAGATTGAAATCTTGGGGGTTCACCGTCTCATCAGATCAAACAAATTGTTCATTGATCTGAGAGAGAGATAAATAGAGATGACGAGCGGCGTAGAAGATGACAAGAACAGATCAGTGTTGCCGGAACATCATCACCAGCAGCCTCCTCCGTTTCAAGGCGTCTCCAACTATCCACAGCAGCAGCAGCAGCCGCCCGCTGGTTATCCACAGCCGGCTCAGCCCTACGTCTCCGGTAAGTTCTCATTATATTTATATGAGACAAAATGTTAAATTATCACATCAGCTGTTTTATTTTGGTTTTTGTGATATTTTAAGCTTTTTTATTGATCATTTCTTTCGGAAACATGATTTTACCCTTTGTAGTATATATTATTTTATTAGAACCTGATCCAGTAATTGTATTGTTGTGACCGAACCTGATTAAGATGTACTTGCCTCTTTTTACCGTACTACCTCGTGGTATGTCTACTTTTGAGACATCAAGATGTAGGTGTTAAAATATTAAAGGTTTTTCATATTGAAAAAACAACACTAGGTTTTAAAATATTAAAGGTTTTTCATATAGAAAAAAAAAGTTGGTGTTAAAAATATTAAATTTTTTTCATATAGAAAAAATTTAAGTGCAAATGAAAATGGAAGGTTACAGCTTTACAATGAACAAAGTAAATTCTACTTAAGAATATTTAATTGGTTGGTTCATATGGAACAAAAATACACGCGTAATCTTAACATAAATTCAAACAAACAAACAAACAATGGAGGCCAGTATTTACTACTTACTAGAAAAGGAGACATTACAATCTCTTTTCTGTCAAAACTATCTTTGCCTAATGTCTAGTTTTTTTAATTATTATTTTTGCCTAATGTTTAGTTTCTCAAAAAGGTTGTGCCATTATCGCCACCACTCACTACTTCTAATGCTCGTTCTTGTTTTCTCTAGGTTATGCTGTTAATGGACTAACAGAACACCAACGTCTTCCTTGTTGTGGTATAGGCATTGGTTGGTTATTGTAAGTCTAATTCATCATTTTCTGATCGTTTATATTCTTGTCATGTTAGCAAACACAAACTCACATATATGTTTTCTTGTTTTGGTTTGGTTTTGGTTCTTGAAGATTCATCCTTGGTTTCTTCCTCGGTTCCATTCCCTGGTACATCGGCTTTTTCCTTTTACTATGCTCTAGAAACCCGCGTGAGAAACCAGGATATATAGCTTGCACAATTGGAGTGAGTATCCATATTCTTAATCTCTTATACACATTTTTGTTATTTTCCTAATGATACTAAATCAATTGGTGTCCAACAGGCTGTTATTGCGACGGGTTTTGTCGTATTTGGAGCCATAAGAGGATCCGGGGTCTGGTAGTAAAGTAGTGCTATAAAATCCAGTACAAACCGGTTCGGGAGTTGAGATACTGGTGCATAAGACGATTGTAATTTTGTGTGTTGTTTGTTTGCGTAAAAGAGCTCAATGTATACTGTTTGAAGAATACAGAGCATGGTGTATGTAAGCAAAAAATGTGTTGCTTTTACACAAAGCCATAGTAATGTGTTCAACACTGAACTATTTATCTATATAATATTTATGTGATTTGATCCATGAATGTTTTTTTCTACGCTGAAATACGACATTCATGTTTAATGAGTTTTTATGTAGAGTTATTAACACGAGACAATTTTGAAATTTTTATTACAAAAAAGACAATTTCAACTATTGAGATACTTTTTGTAATTAAAACTAAACAATTGTTAACAAAATTAAGGAAAATATTACATTTAAAGACAGATTTAAGTTTTTTATAACACTAAAAGACAGTTGTTGCTACCAGGTCTGGCTTAGCTATTTTATGAGCCCAATGCACATATTTTTTTTTTCAAAAGTTATAGTTAGGACCCTAAACTATGTCCTATTTAACAAACTAAGATCCTAATTCTTAAAAAAAAAATCAAAAAATTGAAGGACCCTGTGCATATGCACTCTAGGCACTCCTCAAGAGCCGGCACTGGTTGCTATTAGGATACTTTTTCCTAACTTTCTTCTTTTATGTTGAGTTGTTACGGTTGAAACCAAAATAAATTGTAATTAGTAGACCCACTTCTTCTCTCTCACTATTTTTCTCCTTATCTTTTGCCTTTCTCAAAACTAAAATTATTTTTTTCACAGACCAAAAAGACATTGAAATTTGCAAAGATAGATAATCCCTCCTATAATTCAAAACAAGATTTTTTTTATGACAAACATTCATTCATGAAAATAGAACAAAAAGAAGGTTAATATCATTTCTGGAGGGGTAAAAACCCTTATCGTCTCTTCTCCAACGAACACATGTTGTTTTTTAATCAACAAAAACTCCATTGTCGGCGAGCTCAAGCCCTAAGCTCTATTCCGACATAGTTATGTCTGCGTCAAGGTCAATAGTCTCATTCTCGATGTGATCATCATGCTTAGGACTAGAGTTGTGGAGGCATAAATCGTCGCCGCTTTAATCGTATATTGAAGAAAAAGCTTCATCGGAACAACAATGGTGAAGTTTTGATTATTTACATATTTAGTCCTCCTATTTTTGTTAATCCTCCAATTTTTCTCAAAATTCTATTATGTTCACGAATATTTTTTGAAGTTTTTAATTGTCCAATCCAGACCAAAATAATGTCTTGATTTTGCATTTTGCATTTTTGATTTGCAAATAAATTGTTTCAATTTAGTCTCATAATTTATATGTTCACACTGATAAATTGTCTATGCTACTTTGTATACAAAATACCATAATAGAAACAAACATAAGACTCCCAAAGAATATCAATGTTTCTAGGCGTTAATTTGTACAAGGGATTAGGTGCATATTTATGTAAGGAAGAAAAGTTAAACGTCTTTTGTACATGTGGATATGTAAGTCGATGTACAACCAGTTCGCACACATCATTTTGTACATGTGGATATGTAAAGTGATGTACACATATATAGAACTGAAATAGTGTAGATTTGAAAATTTTAAATGAAATTTATACTTTTATAGTCTATAATATTTTCATCTCTACACCAGCCAAATTAAAATGAATCACATCTCATCTATAGAGATTTGAGTAATATATGACATGATTCAAAATGGTACTAATGTTTGGTTTTAAGAAGAAAAATTATTCTTCTACAAAAATATGTTTGTAGGGAAATCGATATAGATCAGCCATGTCATATAAAATTTTTTTTTTGTTGGTAACGGTATCAAATTAAGGGACACAACAACAATTGTACACATATACACACATATAACAAAGTTAATGTACAAAAACTATTATCAACACCTATAGTATCAATAAAATAAACATTATTAACAAACATGAAAAGTACTCAGTTCAAACCACACATCCGCAAAGATTTTATTTCTTCTTTTTCACATATCTCACATGTACACTAGAATTATGTACACACATAATATCTTTGTGTACACAAACAAGATATACCCTTGTGTTTTATTTTGTGTATATCTTGTTTGTGTACATAAAGATATTGCGTGTGTACATAATTTTAGTATACATGCGAGACATGATCTAAAGGAAAAAAATCTTTGTAGCCAAACACAAAATTCAAACAACTATATTTTGGGCAAATTTATTGTTCTTTGATAGTTGAGACAGATTATTTAGACACATTCTTTTAAGTTGTAGGTTAGTATATAAATTTATGTTTTTTATTCAGTAAACTAATGTGGATTTCAATATATACTTACACAAGACATGAAATGTACAAAATCACATTTTATAGAAAACAACTATCTTTCTACATGTACATATATGTTTGAGATACATGTTAGATGTGTTTGAGATACAGTAAGATATGGTATGTGCAATTAAAAAGTGAGGAGTTAATTTGAAAGGGATATATTTTCAAATCAGATTTTTTGGGGGGCATAAATGAAAATATTAAAAATTGAGGGGCCATTTGTGTGAAATAAAATCATAAATGACCATTGTTGTTCATCGAGATTTTGCCACGAAGGAGAGCCACATCGGAGAAGCTCGAACTGGTCAGACTATCTTTGCAGCTCCAAGAAGGTGATCTGATGGTAATGATGAAATAAAATCCGCCACAGATTCGTTGCTACTTCTGATGTATCTCCGCTTTATCACATATATGGGAAGCGAAAAGAGTGAAAGCAGATAAGTTTGTATTGATTTCAAATCAAGTTATGGGAAGCCAAACGCGGATCAAAAATCTAGTTTTTATTAGAGAGAATTGGCCAAATACCCATATTTGGTGTTGATATTAGGCAAATAACCATGATTTGACATAAAAGTTAAATTTTACACATTTTAGGTTTGGTTGGGCGATTTTGCCCTTCTCACCTTCTCTTTCCCATGTGAATATCTGACATATCTCTCTCCAACAATTCTTCCTCTCTTTCCTATATTCATTTTCTTTAAACCACACATATTTTTCACATACCTCTTTTTCACATTCATTTCTTTCTTTTTACACTATTTTTTTTCTTGATTTTGTTTCTCATCTACAATTTTATGTGTAAATGATTTTTAAATTTACTCATTTTGATAGAGAAATGAAACTTCATTAATATTTATTTGTTAACATATAATACCTAATGCATGTATTGACATCTACAAAATTTATTAACAACTAACATCTCTGTTAACACTGATAATACATGTCTTTGTTAACAGCTAAAACATCTGTTAACATTTATAAAATTTGTTAATAGTTAATACCTCTGTTAATACATCTTGTACATGTATTTGTTAACAGTTAACCATTTGTTAACATCTACATTACTTGTTAACAGCTAATGTATCGGTTGATACAAATAGCTGTAAAGTGGCTGACACAACTAAGAATGACTAGAGTAGCTGGCATAGCTACACAGAGAAACAATAAGGTTAAAATCATCACAGAAATAAATAAATCAAATCATTATCATTAGTAGTTGACTAATTAAAGTACCGTTTTTAGTATAACAGCAAGTAATCTATTTTTATTATAAGAAAAGATAGTTTCACCTACGTGCTACATTAATTTTGGCAATTCAAGAATCATACCTCTCGTGGTTATAAAAAAGTAAAAAAATCTAAGGCCCAAGTCGAAAAACAAAAGCCCACAGAAACAGGCCTAGGGTTTGTCCTAGAGAGCACTCTCGCTAATACTTTTCTCACCACCGCCACCTTCCGGCTCTCTCTCTCCTCTGTTTTATTTAAGCACATTTAGTTGGAGCTTCATCCTCTCCCTTGAAATGGTTGCTTTCCGGGTAAGTTTTGGTCCTTGTTCGTTGATTCTAGACTGTACTCAGTAGTTATGATCCTGATTTGGGTAGTTATGTATCATAGGGATGAACTAGGTCTGATTCGTTGATAAAGGTTTTATCTTTATATCTTACAATGGACTGATTCCATCAGCTTTTGTGTTTTTGATCCTTAGCCTTGATCCTTTTATGTATGATCCTTGTGGAAAATGTGAACTTTACGTTTTACAATGTATTGATTTCATCAGCTTTTGTCTCTTTGAGCAGTTTCATCAGTATCAAGTGGTTGGGAGAGCCCTCCCTACAGAGAAAGATGTGCAACCTAAGATCTACAGGATGAAGCTATGGGCTACTAATGAAGTCCGTGCCAAGTCCAAGTTCTGGTGAGTTAATGCAGTATCCTCATTTCATAAGTTATTGTCTGATCCTAAGTACATTTGGTTGTATTGTAGGTACTTCCTGAGGAAACTGAAGAAGGTTAAAAAAAGCAACGGACAAATGCTTGCCATCAATGAGGTTAATTTGATTGTCTTCTTACATAACCGTTTCTTTTTTATGTTCAGTCTGTTTATTATTTTGTGGTTTCTTCTCTTGTAGATTTTTGAGAAGAACCCCACTAAGATCAAGAACTTCGGTATCTGGCTGCGTTATCAGAGCCGAACTGGGTACCACAACATGTACAAGGAGTTCCGTGACACTACGCTTAATGGTGCAGTGGAGCAGATGTACACTGAGATGGCTTCTCGTCATAGAGTGAGGTTCCCTTGCATTCAGATCATCAAGACCGCTACAGTCCCTGCGAGTCTGTGCAAGAGAGAGAGCACCAAGCAGTTCCATAACTCCGAGATCAAGTTCCCTCTTGTTTTCAGGAAGGTTAGGCCACCAACTAGGAAGCTCAAGACTACATACAAGGCCTCAAAGCCTAACCTTTTCATGTAAAACCAATCTTGCATGATTGTCCTTATCCTTTTCAAACCAGATCAGATTAGGGTCATTGGAGCTCATCTCTTGGAATTTTAAATTTTGCAACTATTGAACTTTTATTATCTAGATATGAATATTCAAGTCACTGGCAATTTTAATCATGCTGTTGAAAAAATAATGTTGCAAAAGTTTAAAGAAGTGATGTGATGAAGAGAAAAGCACATTGCTTTCCTTTTATATATAGCTCATGTTTTGGATTATTGGTTTGTATTTTAAATACATATATACTTTAGGTTAGGCTTAGTTAGTTGAATCATCCAGCTTACCCCATGAACAAGACTCCTTTCACGTCCGCTTTTATCATTTCCTTTACGTAATAGGCACGTGAACGATTCCAAGAACAACGTCTCGCTTCTTGATCCTAGACCCGTCGGCATCACAGTCTCTACGTACACTGAACCTGGTTTGTTTCAAAAGGCAGAGAAATCAGTCACCCGACATTGCAAGAAACACGTCGTTGAATCTACGAATGGGTTCTTTTGGATCCTAGAAGCAAACAAGAGCTCAAGTTTGCACCGACTCCAAAGTTAAAACCAAGAGCTTATCATGTGATGTTTATCCAGAAGCAGAAACTTACAAGAGAGTAGGACAAAACGTAAAAAAAAAAAAGGATTTTAAGATCCTTTATCCGTATAAGATGCCTCTCGAACACTATTAAAGTGTGAAAACATCTTTCTCCCTTTTTGCCTTTCCCGAAATAGTATCAAAACTGACAAACTGTTAGTGTTAGGGCCAATACTTTTACTCGATGGTAACATGGATGCATGCATTCTTTATCGTACTTTATGTTCAGAGCATCTTCATAAGTCTGCACACTCCCATCAGTTTATCAAACCGAACAAATATATTTATATTCTATGGAATGGATATTTTCAAGTACATACAAGATTGATGTTTTAGTTTTATTTTTTCTTATATACAAAAGTTTTGATGTTCTACCTTAATTAATGCAATTTGCTTTAAAAGTAAGACATGAATTAAAATGTAAAAGTGTAAGTGGTTGAATTTTATTGGGAATCAAATAAAATTTTAAATTAGTAAAAAGCAAAAAGTAATAGAAAAAAGTAAATATTTTGTTTTTAATATGTGTGAGCAACTTTAAACATCAATCTTTAATAAATTATTCAATTAACCTAAAATCTTTTTTTCTAAACACTTAAATCAAAATTTTCCAAATCACTTTAAAAGGCCAGAGATCGTGAGGTTCCAAGTAAAGGCAAAAACTTCGACGGTTAGAAGAAAATATTTGTCCGAAACACAAAGTCTATAAATATTAAAGACATAGTCACATAGACATATGTCCGCATACATTTCCACATCAAAATTATCAACTCTTAATACACCAAAAACACTAGCAAATGGAGATATCACTTGCATCATTGGCTATGGTTATAGTATTGTGGTGGATATGGAGAGTTGTGGAGTGGGTTTGGGTTAAGCCTAAGATGCTTGAGAGTTACCTGAGAAACCAAGGTCTTGTTGGAACACATTACACGCCTCTTGTCGGAGATGTGAGAAGAACTTTTAGCATGCTGAAGGAAGCAAGATTGAGACCAATGAAACCAACGGATGATCTCATTTCACTTGTCATGCCTTACTCCTTTCAAATGCTCAATACTTACGGTAGATATATTTTCTTGGTTTTTGGATTCAATATTTTTTCTTAATTAGATTGTCCTTCTAATATATGTATGTGGCTGCAACAGGAAGTACTTTTTTTACATGGTTAGGACCCGTACCATCCATCACAATAATGAAGCCACAACTTATCAAAGAAGTGTATAACAAAGTTTATGATTTCCCCAAGACTCACACGTTTCCTTTGCTTGCGTTGATAACTGATGGACTGGCCAATGCTGATGGACATAAATGGGCTAAACACCGGAGGATCGTCAACCCGGCATTCCACTTTGAGAAGATCAAGGTTTCTAGATTCTCTTTCTCTAATATTGTCAGAACCAAGTTATATGGCTGATGAGGTGATCATGTTCCAACTTGTGTGCTTTTATATATAGAATATGGTCCCTACGTTTCATCAATGTTGCCGCGAGGTTGTGTCCGAGTGGGAGAAGTTAGTTTCAGATAAAGGGTCATCCTGTGAGGTTGATGTTTGGCCATGGATTGTGAATCTAACGGGAGATGTGATTTCTCGTACCGCTTTCGGTAGTAGCTACAAAGAAGGACAGAGGATATTCATACTACAAGAGGAACTAGCAAAGCTCATCATGCAAGCTCTTGGAAAGAATTACATGTTGGAACTCTGTTTTTTAAAAGCTGATAGTTTCTGATTTTCCGGCGACTTTTCCGGCCAAGCCAGTGGTCGTTCCGGTCAGATCAGCAGCTCGTTGTAAAGCTTGTAACAAGTACTACAACGTGGTATATTCACACTTTAAAAACAGATCAAAATTGAATAAGAAATGAAGCTTCAAAGTTGGTATGTTGGTGTGGANTGTTGGAACTCTGTTTTTTAAAAGCTGATAGTTTCTGATTTTCCGGCGACTTTTCCGGCCAAGCCAGTGGTCGTTCCGGTCAGATCAGCAGCTCGTTGTAAAGCTTGTAACAAGTACTACAACGTGGTATATTCACACTTTAAAAACAGATCAAAATTGAATAAGAAATGAAGCTTCAAAGTTGGTATGTTGGTGTGGACAAAAAATGAAAAACCCAGTTTTGGGTTTTGTCCCACATCGGCCAGAAGTAACATCAGAGAGCAGTATATATATGCCTTTGTGTTATCATGGTTTAAACAGCTTGGAGAGAGAGATGGCTCTCCACGCGCGCGCCGCCGCCGCCGTCCGGCCGGCTCGGCTCGGCTCGGCTCGGCGTGGGCTTGGGCTTGGGCTTGGGCTTGGGCTTGGGCTTTATTGGAGGGCCTTTGGCCCGATAAGAAGTTATCTTTTTGGACCAAATTAAGCCCAACGCTTTGCCATTTTTAAATTTAAAAACAGCATGACGTGTGTAAATAAACAACACGTAGTTTGTGAAAAAACAACACGAAGTCTATCTGTTTGCAAAACAATTTGAACGAGTCAAATAAAAGAGCAGATCTTGCGGAGAAAGTTTCTGAGCTTCCACTCCCGAGATCTCAGCGAGATTTTCGCCCACGTGCAGCAGTTGTTGCGGGAAGTGGGTCTTCTCCGTCTCTTTAAATATTGCCTCTCCTCCTTCTTCATTCTTAACTTTTTCAGGCAAGAAATCCAACAGAAAACTCCCAAAGTAAGTCTAGAGAGTGTTTCGTAATTTTTAGTTCGTTAGGTCGTTTCACGAGTGAAGCGTGATTCGTCTGCCATGGTTGTATCCTGGGACTCGATATTCGTACAGTTTCGTCTCACTACGGAGCGAATATTAAGAGTTAAGGAAAGAGATTTATCTCGCCTCCATGTCTTATATAATCGTTTATTTCCTTAACTCCGTCTTTCTTATATCGTCTATGTCGATCCGGTTTTCCGGCTTTTACANTTTCACGAGTGAAGCGTGATTCGTCTGCCATGGTTGTATCCTGGGACTCGATATTCGTACAGTTTCGTCTCACTACGGAGCGAATATTAAGAGTTAAGGAAAGAGATTTATCTCGCCTCCATGTCTTATATAATCGTTTATTTCCTTAACTCCGTCTTTCTTATATCGTCTATGTCGATCCGGTTTTCCGGCTTTTACATTACATCCCTGGATACCGGTATGAAACTTGACTTTTGCTTTAATACTAGCGTGACTAATCTGTTTTCTAAAAAAAATTACAATCTACTTATGTTTATATGAATCTCATTCCTTTATTTGCATAGGTTGTGGCTTCCATTAGTTTTATTCATTTTCAACATGTAAATAAATGTCACTTTTTGGGGGAGTTTTTTCTTTGCAAAAATCAATAGACAATGAGGATAATGGTTCATGGCTTGTATTGTGAATTTTACATTTCATTCTTTCCCTTTTTCGGAGTAGGCATTTCCCAACAAGGAATGCTAGAAGGATAAAGACAATAGTTAGAGAGATTCAAGTTATACTAAAAGAGCTCATTATCAAAAGGGAAAAGGCTAGAAAAGCTGGAGAAACACCAAGTGACGATTTGTTGGATCTACTTCTTGTATCAAATTCAGGTGAAACTACAGGAAATGGACTGACCACCGAAGAAATTATGGAAGATTGCAAGTTGTTTTATTTCGCGGGAAAAGAGACTACTTCAGTGCTTTTAACTTGGACAATGGTTTTGTTAAGCCAACACCAAGACTGGCAAGCTTGCGTGCGAGAGGAAGTTATGCAAGTTTTTGGTGATAGAGAACCCGATCTTGAAGGCATTAAGCAACTCAAAGTTGTAAGTATTAAACCAAACAAACTTTTTCAATTTTTTTAAAAGGGCTTTCAATTTAAAAACATAAAATATTACAAGATAATCTTGTCTTATAGTTTGATTTTTTTTTTTGTACAAAGTCTTATAGTTTGATAAAATATTTAAGTTGATGCTTTCTTTTATGGGATTCTTGCATTGGTTTAGTTATCTGCCACTTCAAAATGTGCTACAAAAACAAAAAGTTAAAAAAGTGTTATACGTGCAAATTACTCTTAGTTTGTAGCATTTTTGATGTTTTTGTTGAACGAGTCTTACAGATGACGATGATTCTTTATGAGGTCCTTAGGCTATACCCTCCAGTCATCCAGATGAACCGAGCGGTCCACAAAGAGATCAAACTAGGCGATATGGAAATACCAACCGGTGTTCAAGTCAATATACCTGTTCTGCTAATCCATCGTGACACTAAGCTTTGGGGTAATGATGCAGCCGAGTTCAAGCCAGGGAGGTTCAAAGATGGGATCTCAAAGGCAACAAATAACCAGGTGTGCTTCTTGCCTTTTGGGTGGGGACCTAGGATTTGCATCGGTCAGAATTTTGCTCTATTGGAGGCAAAGATGGCTCTGGCTTTGATTCTACAGAGATTTTCCTTTGAGCTTTCTACGTCTTACGTGCATGCGCCTTACACAGTCATCACAATTCATCCACAGTTTGGTGCTCATCTTATTCTAAACAAGCTATGAACTTGTGATGATATTAAATGAACTTGTTACAGACAGTGAAACAATATAGAGAATTGAAGAAACGAATCACGAATCACGGTCACAGTCATAAGACCATGTTGCTTATGCTTCCTTGATAACTATTCTATCTACCAAGTTGAGTTGGTCTAGTGGTAGAGGGGTTGCGGCTGTAATTTCAGCCACTTAGGTTCAATTCACGTTAGGAATAACTATTTACAATGCTTGGGTTCCCGACAAAAATGTGATTACAAAAAACAACTATTTTATCTTTGTAGTGTAATACTTAAAAGTTTAGAAAACAAGTCAAAAAACAAGTTCATTTTCTTTGAATCAAATTTAACATTTTATTTTAAAAAAACTTAAAAATTTAAAATAATTTATCATTTGGAATAAGTGTGCGATTATAAACAGTTACCATTAACCACATATATATATCTTTATAAATCATACGTTAACGTTTTCCTAGAAGTATTTTATTAAATTTGGTAGGCATTTACTTGTCC